TCAGAAAGCTGTGGCTATCTTAGTAAATAAACTCTTCATTTGGAAAGCACTACAGACAATATCACTTGTAAATAGCAGCTACTTTAGAGAAGCAAGCAAACAAAACCAGATCCCTTCAATCTAGTATTTTAGGAATAACAGAACAAAAATAAAATGGTACATCTGAGTAGTCTGTATTGACCCACAAGTATAACTATGTGCTAAATTGAAAAATAATGATTTGTCAGGAAGAAACCTAAGTCAAACCTGAGACTCAAAGGGAAATAATTGGAATCATGGCTGTAGCATGAAGCCACTGTGTCCATGGTTATTATTTATATGATAGAGAAAATTACATCTATGTATTTGTGGCAAAAAATAACCCCAGAACGCAGTGGTGTACAGCCTGAGAGTTTTTAACAACAATGCCACCAGGTCATCCCCTTCAGAAACAGTCTGGGTAGACTTGTCCTTTGGAAGGAGTTCTCATTTTAATCATGAAGTGTGCTCCGGCCAGAGGCACTTGGCTTTTACTAGTAATTGAGGGTGGTTCCTCATCCTTATATACTCCACCCATTGCCCTTAGGCTTCTGGAATACTCCCCAGGGCTATTTTTATTCCAGAGCAGCAGCTCTAATTCACATTCTGGTATCTCTTCTATCCTGAGCAGCTGAAGGAACCACTAGACATCTGCTTCGACTTTATCATGTAAACAGCTGGTCTTTCTTTCCTCTCCTCTGGGAACCATTCTAGCTCTACAGAATTAAGAGCATCCTTCAAACAAATGGTACCTGCAGATCAAAAGGCTACTCTATTCCCCCCCCCCACCCCCAAATATGGACTTTTTGCTGAAATGTTCTTCAAAGGTAAAAGTACCTGCTCGGTTCAAAGAGCCCCCCCCTCCTCTTACCCCAAATCCTGTCCCTCTGTTTGAAGAACTGAAGAAGACAGGAGGATGGGTTATTACTGTTCCTTATTCTTTGGGGTCCTACAAAGTGACTGCCAGAGTCCTTTCTTCTGGAGTCTGAGGAGAGAAGAGAAACAACTGAGGTTAATTTTTTGGTTTTTTTTTTTCCTTTTTACAGTTTTTATATTTGTTTGTTTGCATCTTGTAGAAACATAGACACTTCTTTATTTATACACATTAATTTAACTATTAAAGGTGAAGGTTAATTGTGAAGAAACATTCTTCTGACAGACTTCACCATAGGCAAGAATTAATTGATAATGATTTCCACCCCACCCCTCAAAAAAGATAATGATTCCTGGACTTGCCAGGATATTCCTGATTTTCTAATTCCCATTAATCCTATAAATACATCTCAAACTTGTCAAAAAAGTCTCTGATATTTGGTTTGTTAAATATAGTCCCTGTGCCAGGATTATAAGAAGCTGTAGCTGGGTTCGGTGGCTCAGTCTGTAATCCCGTGCCTTTGGGAGGCTGAGGTGAATGGATTGCCCTTAGCCCGCGAGTTCGAGACCCGCCTGGGCAGGCAAGACCTCATCTCTACAATAAATCAGAAAATTAGCCGGGCGTGGTAGCGCGCGCCTGTACTTCAGCTACTTAGAAGGCTGAGGTGGAAGGATCGCTGGAGCCCAGCCCAGCAGGTTGAGGCTGCGGTGGCCGGGAGTGGCCACTGCACTCCAGTCTGGGCGACTGAGTGAGACTCCAACTCAAAAAAAAAAAGAAAAGAAACTGTGACTGTGGACTGACTCATATCTCTTCCAAATTCATATGTTGAAATGCTAATCTCCCAATGTGGCTGTATTTGGAGTAAAGAAGTAATTAAGGTTAAATGAAGTCATAGAGTACAGCCTTTGTCCTATAGGATTAGTGTCCTTCTAAGAAGAGATACCAGATGGCTCAATGGGTTTTTCTCTGCCATGTGAGGACACAAGAAAAGTTTTTGCTTACAGCAAACTATAAGCTAGAAAGAAAGCCTTCACCAGGAACCTAATGGTCTGGCACCTTAACCTTGGACTTCCCAGTCTCCAAAACAATAAGAAAATATATTTGTTTTTTAAGCCACATAATCTGTGGTATTTTGTTATGGCATCCCAAGCAGATGAACACTGTTAATAATGTAGTCAAAATGAAGTTTTAAAATATCAAGCACAGTAGAACTGATACAGGCTAGCATTTATTTTATAGACTATTTGCATATTGCATGGATGCTACTGTAATATAAAACTTCTCTTTTACATTTTCCTTCGGAGACAATTAGCAAGCTACACAAGAAGACTGGCTGTGTAAATTTACAGTCCAAATCTTGTTTTTTTAAAAAATGAAAAATAATACTTTTCTAATAAAAAATGATACTTACATTAAGAACTCAAATTTCCCCCAGATGATACAGACTTGCAACTGTGGAGAATATTCAAAAGACTATTTGTTGAACAAATTAATTTACCATAGACTTTGAAAACCCAAGCAACAGAGATGCCTAGGACTCAAAGAACTCACAGATGGGTAACAAAAACCACTGCTGGCAATCTCTGAGAACTCAGAAAGAACTGGAGAGGTGCCAGGAGACTGACGCTGGGTAAATATTGTCCAATATATTTTTCCGAGAGAAAAATGCAAATATAGGAAATTGTAGTTTAACAGACTTGATATCTTGACTCTCAATAAAATTTTATAAGCAAATAAATAGGTTTAGAATTTGAGGGCACACAGTCAAAAAATACTGTTAAAATTAAGATCTACTTAGTCTCTGATGTTGCCTCTGAGAACAAATTGGAGAAACGAGCAAAATGACACTATAATTAAGGAGCTTTGTAGCTTTATGAGTTGTTGGGTAATTTTGTGTGAAAAGTGTTGACACAGAAAGAGCTAACAATATATTGTTCCATGAAAAAGCAGGTTGTGAAACAATAGAGTACAATAATATTGTTGTAAATAATATAGAGATAGATAGATATCTTTATAGAGCTATATAAAGAAAAATTCCTTGGAGAGTCCCAAAACGTTATTAGTGGCTATATCTGGGGATTATCTTTCTTTCTTGGCTTTCCTTTCTGCATTTTCTAAACCTTATAAAATTAAGTTATAGACAAGTTATTTTTTTAATTGCAAAAGAAAACAGTCAAAAGAAAAAAATCACAAGAGGACAGAAGTATTGATTAATATATTGATTTTATGTGCAGGAGAATGTTATGAAGAAATGGCATCTCTTTCACTGTAATGTGGAACTTTTATTATATCAGTGTCACTATATTCTATTAACGGAAGTTCTCAAAACTGTTCTTTTTTCCTGTTATCACAGTTTTTTACAAGAGGGGAAAAAAACTTTCTTATCACCAGGGACACAGTTAAAAATACAGATTCTGGGCTCTGTCATTCTGATACAGTATATTGTTAGCTTTTTCTGTGTCAACACTTTTCACACAGAATTACCTAACTACTCATATAGCTGCAAAGCTCCTTAATTGTAGTGTCATTTTGCTTGAAATCATATAGTCATTAACAGTGGGGTGAAGGAGACTATTAAATTACCTGGGAAGTAATTCATAATACCTCACATGAATAGAGCTGGTTACAACATAATATGATGCAGAAGCAATTCTGTAAGTAGGAGGAATTTACACACACAGACAAACACACACACAGACACACACACACACACACACACACACACACACACTCCAAAAACACCAAAATGTTAAAAAGAAGTAATTACTTGTCTAATAGGATAATTATTTTTATTTTATTCTTCCTGATTTATTGCATTTTCCTAAATTTTTAATATTTTTTTGTGTTGGTTTTGTGGTTATTTTTAAATCATCACTTACATCCTTTCTTTTATAAAGATACACTTGCAAAAGATAAAGGCTTGACAGTAAGTTTCATAATGGAAATAAATTTTTGCCGAAAGAGCTACTCTATTCTTATAAAAAAAAAAAAAGATCCACATGGAAATATTAGCTAGGTGGAGGTTTTCGATTGGGATGGGCCCTTACAAGCTAGTGAAATAGTGATTGTTGAGGATATGATATAGATCTAATTTTGATTTATATTTCCACTCAGAATTCCTTCATGTATTCTTCTCCAGGTCTTTTGGAATAGATTGCCTTCCCTTATGTAGGAGGGGCAGCAGTTACATATTTTTATGTATTTATTCTCCAAGATCATTCAGACTATCAGTCCCCACATAGGATGGACCCCAGGGCCTCATAAAACTACTCCACCAATTAGTTTCACAAGTTTGTTAGTCATTTTTCCAAATTTACTGAATTTACATTTTGGACCTGTTGAGAGGCTGCTACTACATCAGCACCATGTTATGGAGACTAGAGATAAATAAAGCTAAAACTTCTGCTACTGTTTGAGTATCCCCTCTGCAACTCACGTTAACATTTAATTGCCAGTATTAAAAGGTGGGGCCTTAAAGTAGTGATTAGGCCATGAAAACTCTGCCCCTGTGAATGAATTCATGATGAGAAAGTGGGTTCAATGTTATAAAAGCGAGTTCAGCTCTCTTTTTTACTCTCGCTCTTACCACTGCTTATTCTTCTACCTTCTGCCGTGGTATGACAGAGCAAAAAGGCCCTCACCTGACACAGGTCCCTTGACCTTAGACTTCCAGTCTTCAGAACTATAAGAAACAGATTGCTGTTCTTATAGATCCCATCTGTGGTCTTCTGTAATAGCAACACAAAATGGACTAAGACAACTTAGACACATTGCCCTAAAGGAACTTGATTCAGGTACAATTATGGAGATTTTGACAAACATAAAATTCTGTAAAATATGAAATATGATAGTGAGTTGAGCAGAAGAGATTAGAACAAAAGTTCTCATCCCTGGCTACACAGAAGAATTAACTCTGGGGGCTTTTGAAAAAATAGAAATGCCTTGTCCCCACCACTAGAACATTGATTTATTAGTGTAGGGTGAGGACCCAATAGCCCACAGGTTAAAAAAGAAAGAAAGATAAAAACCTCCCCAGGTATTTCTGATCTATAACTGAGTGTAGAGACTCCTTGTATTACAGCGACTAATTCTGCCTGTGATTTTCCAGACACAGCAACGTGCAAATGCTGGTTGAACAGAATCCGGGAGAATGAACAGGAGCTTGATGTCAAAGATAATCTTATAGAAGAAATAAGGGTTCAGAGTCAAGAAGCCTGGCCAAGACAGGTTGATCTGGGAATTTGTAAGTGGTTCAGTATGGCAGGACTGTGAAGGGCATAGTGCAGGTCTTGGGTGTGTGTGGGAAGAGAGGGCATGGAGGGTTCTGGAGCAGGACAGGGAGGAGCGTGAGACGTTGAGTCCAAAGCATGAGGGGCCAGAGTTTATCATGAAACAAGAGTGTGTGGGCTTTAGGGGGTCCACCCGTGGCTGTAATGTAAGGGGAGCCCTAGTCACAATGTCTATGGCAGAGGGGGAAGAGACCACAGACAGTGGACACCACTGGCCAGGATTCAAGAGACAACTCTGAGGCACAAGTCACAGAATTTGGCATGCTGTGTTATCTATCAGTAATATCACTTCTGGAGTTTTTTGAACCTTCAGGTCTATATTTTTTTTCCCTCAAATAATAGAAAGCATTTTCTTGTATTCACATATCCCCAGTTATTTTACATTTTACTCTGTGCAGCTAGAGAATACTAAACAAGAGATTAAAAACTGCCATTATGATGATAGAATGAGGTTTTATATATACATATATTCCATTTTTTGTATTTATATATGTTTTTGTATCATCAACAATCACCCTCCCCAGAGCACACACTGAGTAGAAGTCTATGAGCTTTGTGAGCACAGTTCCAGGAGAATTCAAGGAGCCCAGTCTCTGCCTGTGTTTCATTATGCTCTCTCACTTGACATTTCTGAATGCAAATATGTCTGACAAGTGTAAATAAGGGTGTCATGCCTCAGAGAAGTACCCATTTCCACCTTGCCATCCTTTATCATGTGTGTGTTCAGGGATGAATGTGCCATTTTCATCTTCTAATATTTTCACAGTTGGAATTTTTTACAGAGTGCAGCAGTGAGTTCTGTGGTTTCCAAGGTGAAGAAATGTATCTGCTTTTTATCCCTGCAGAATTCAGTGCATTTTTAAATACCTTGAAAAGATGCCAGAATCAGAAAAAGGAATACTCAGTGTTCAGCCAGCGGACAGAAGAAGCATCTGCAGCACAATACTTCCAGGTCAGGAGAGTTGTCCTGGGTGAAATGAATTGATTTGTTTCAAGGTGACACTCACCTGTAAACACACCTGGGCAGGGAGGTGGAGAGTGGAGAAGAGACAACTGATGTCCTATTGCGGTGGTTCTCAAAGCATGGCCTCCAGACCAGCAGGATCAGTATCATGTTGATTTAAATCCCCACTCTACCACTTATTGCATCATCAGGACTTGGGCAGGTTTCTATATCTTTCTAAGCCTCAGCTTCCTCAGCTGAGAAACATAATTCACTTGATTTTTGTGATGATTTAATTTGATTAGATGATGGCTACAAAGCACTTAGCATGGTGCCTGGCACACAGAAAGCTATACCAAATGGTGTCAGTTATGGTGATGATATTTATTACTGTAAGTGTTCATGGATTTAGATGAACCACATTACCCAGCTGGCTTGCCTGTTTCCATCAGGATTGCCACCTATACCTTCTCCTGGGATTCTCCACCTTTTGTCCTACTCCCAATTTCTAAGTTCTGTTTCTTTCTCTAGGGACTTTATTAAGGCAGGCCATCTCTTTTGGCCCTGGCCCCTTTCTCTCTTGATTCACTTCTTCTTGATTTGTACTCTCATAGACTCTAATTTAGGAAGACTTGGGCACTTATCAATATGTAGGCCTCAGTCTATTGTATGGAGCAGGAGTCAGAAGTCTGGAATCTACTTAGAATTCTATACTTTACATACAGGACCAACGTGGACAGGTTATGCATCCCTCAGAGTCTCAGCTTCTGTGTGTTAAAGCTATGGCTGCCTTGGCCAAATTGCTCATGAACCAGATGCTCATGACTGTGCTGCCTTTGTGGGTTGCTTACACACCCTCTTTTTTCTCCCTTTCTTGTAGTTTTATGGCTGTATTTCCCAGCAGCAGAACATGATGCAAGATTTCGTGAGGACAGCTACTTACCAAAGAGCCATCCTCCAGAACCACATTGACTTCAGAGACAAGGTAACACTAGTAGTAGGTTACTAATCTCATACAATATTCAGAAGGCTTTTCAAGACTAGAATCAGAATGACGCTTTGATCGAATTACCATATGACACAGCAATTCCACTCCTGGATATATACCCCAAAGATCTGAAAATGGGTATGGTATTCCAACAAATACTTGTACACAAATGTACAGAACAGCATTATTCAAAATAGTCAAAAAGTAGAAACAATCCAAATGTCCATCAACTGATGAACATATAAACAAAATGTAGTATATTTATACATGGAATATTATGACTATTATTCGCATGTGTGTTATCCATAACAAGAGATGCAAGGCTGATACATGCTGCAGTGTGGATGAATCTCAAAAACATGCTAAGGGAGAGAAGCCAGTCACAAAAGGTCATGTGGTTCCATTTATATGAAGCATCCAGAGTAGGTAAATCTTTAGAGACAGAAAGCACACTCGTGGTTGCCAGCACTGAGGGGAAGTGAGAAATGGAAAGGACTGCTTCATGGGTACAGAGTTTCCTTTTAGGATGATGAAAATGTTTTGAAACTAAATAGAGGTAATGATTTCACAATGTAATGAATATATTAAATGACACTAAATTATATACTTTAAAATGATTAGTGGTTAATTGATATTATGTGAACTTTGCCTCACTAAACATATTAAGCTTTGAGTGCCAGGAACTCAAGAGACTGAATGCACTATGTTTTGGTGCACAGAACAGGTAAGGAGCTTTCTTGCTACATAATGAATAGCTCTTCATGTGACACTCTACTTCAGTTTTTTCATAGACTCCACAAGTGCATGCATTTATTTCCTTCACGAAATTGATCTGAATGATGGCAAACACATTTTCAACTGTTTTCCATTATTCTTCTACCTGTTAAGCAGCCAAAGTGTTCAAAATCTAAACAGCTCATCTCTAAGGTAAGAGTACTAGTCAGAGGACTTATCAGAAGGTATCCAGTTTTGTATTTTCCCCTTCATTAACTGGGTGATCTCAAGCAAAACACTGAACTTCTCTGAGCCTCATAGGCTATTCTACTGCCCTGAAAATTGTAGATACATAGTCTTTGAGCTTTGCAGCATTAATTTTCTAGGAAGGATGTGTGAGAACATTGAAATAACGATCCAAATCCATATCATTTTGCAAAGACACGTAGCTGCTTATATTATCAAGAGATGATCTAACTTTTCTTTTAGCTCTATACTGGCAACTTGACTTGCTTTTGCCAATGGAATATAACAGAGGTGATGTTGTGTGAGTTCCAGAGCCTAGCCCCTAATGAGCCTTATAGCTTCTGTTCTCAACTTCTTGGAACCCTGAGACTGCCACACTGTGAAGAAGCTCAGTCTAGCCTACTGGAGTTGGGCGATCAGTCACTTGGAGGACTACTGAGACACCCCAACCAATAGTCAGCACCAACTTCCAGACTTGTGAGTGAGGTCATCTGGGGTCTTCCAATCTAACCAACCCTCCTACTGAATACAGAAACATGAACAAATTTGAGTAAGACCAACAGAAAAACTGCCCCAGCTTCTCACAGAATTGAGAGAACTTATAAATTGTTTTTGGTTTAAGTCACTAAATTTTGATGTGATTTGTTATACAAGCAACTCTTTCAGGCTGCTAGATTCAGAACTAGAGTTTATCTCAGGAGTTCTCTTTGCGCCCATATCCCCTTTTCCAGTTTGTTGACTTCAGGCCAACGTAGTATGGCTGGGTAGTATTTCAAATACTAGTCTTCTTGCCCAAACTGCCTGCTACTGTTTACTTTTCAGAGTCCTCAAGTGGTTGCTACATGCATTCTGTCCAGGTTTTGCAGCTGTATTTGGTGAGAGAGAGGGTGAAGTGGGCCTCCTCTAACTCACACAGGACAGGACATAACCCCAAAGCCAGATCTAGGTACTCTGGCAGGTGAGATAAGAGACAAAGGTAAGGCCAGAAATGACAAGGTTTGGCTAAAGAGTCTCATATGTCTTATGTTTGAGATGCCCGGGAACCTTGCTTTGCCAGTGGAATATGCTTGGTTAGCAATTGTGAAGTAAATATTTATAATGAAGAGAATCTGATTATGATAGATGGGCAAGATGAGAACAGAGAGAACAATTTGTTTCTTCTGTCACTTCAAAGTTGTAAGCTGTCTTGTTGACCTAAGGTTGATTTTTTCCAATTAAAAAAAATATTCAACTCTGAACTGTTGATTTATTCTCCATGGTTTGAGAATGTTTCCTAGAAATAATAGTTTTATTTAGGGAAATAATTTTTTTCTCTGTAAGGACTTAATCTGTAATCTATTTTCAATTATCTAAAATTTATTTTCTATGTTATCTATGATCTATTTATAATTCTGGTTACAACTTCTAAAGACCACTCCCCAGACTGCTAGTCATATTAACAATTTGCATTATAAGTCTTTCACAGATTTTTCACATGAGTTATGTCACTTGGCCATTTTGTTTGTATTTCTTTTCATCTATAACGATGAAGATATTGGACAAGACTATTTTTAAGGTCATTTCCAGCTATAGCCTCATTTTTTTTAAACAAAATATCTTTCTCCTGCCTGCCTCAAATGAGTTTATCTGCCAATGAAATAAAATAGGCACCCATCTGTTGGGGGTTATGAAGGTGATAATTAATCACATGGTTGATAATTAATTTTCTCCCATTCCCCCTTTGTATACTGAACCAATTCAGAAATAGACACAATTGTCAGGTAGAAACCACAATATCAGCTTTCTTGTTGGTATGGGTGTTTGGAGAAAGGGACTTATACCTGTAGCCAAATAAAACTTCCTATTTCTTCTCCCAGACTGAACTTTCACACTCACTTGTATGCTGACAACTGGTCTCCCAGACAAGTCCAGAGCCTGCCCCATAAGCCTCTCACATGGGGGCCTCAAGGGCACAGACCTGAGGAGAGGTGGGCAGGCTGGCCCCTCCCATGTGCCTGGGCTATGCAGCCTCAGTTCCATTTTCCAGTGTCACCAATCAGATGAATCATTCCTGCTGAGGGGAAAAAACAGGAAGGGTTTTTGACAGATGACCACTCGGACCTCCATTACTGCCCTCTCCTGGGATTGAATATCTCCTCCCCTCTGAAAATTGAAGGAGATAACCATCCCTGTTTTAGTGTCCCAGGAATCCTATCGGTCCTCAACACACCAGAGTTGGTCCCTCTACTGCAAATCCACCAAATCTATCACAAATCCAAAATTTAGTCCTTTTTAGCTAGGCAAGGTGGCTCATACCTGTAATTCATCACTTTGGAGACCAAGTCAGGAGGATTGCTTGAGACCAGGAGTTCAATACCAGGCTGGGCAACATAGCAAGACCCTAGCTCTAAAAGAAAAAAAAAGTTTCTTGTTTGATTTTATCATACTGAAGATCATTCTAGAATAAGCTCTGTGAGTTTGTGGAGGATGCTACTGTTTTCAAAAAACTTTTGTATTCTCTCTCATTAAAATTGGTTTAGAATGATCAATACCAATGGCTATTATTTATTGAGGAGCTTAGTACAGGCAAGCACCATGTTAAGGGCTTACCACACACTGTTTCCTTTCATATTCTTTACAACTTTATGAGATAAATACTAATATTATTGCCATTTTAGAGATGAGAGAATTAAGGCTTGGGAAGGTTGATAATATACCTGATTTTATACAACTAGAAATAAAAAGGTCACAATAAGACCGAGTTATTCTTCTTTAGAGCCTGCACATATAACCCCTAAAAGGCATTGATTGTGGGAATATTGGCAGAAATTGCTAAGGGAGATTTTTGTATCTCTAGGCCTAAGGATGGGATGAAAACATTTTGGTTACCTGAACATCCTCATAAATGTATGAGATAGCATTGCACAATGGTTACATTTATGAATTCTGGAACGAGAGGGCTAAGTTGAAATTCCGGCTTGCCCATTTACTATGAACCAGCCATAAACCTTTATTCTGTTTGTATTGAGATCTTGGGTGGGTTGTCTACAGTCTGTGGGCATTAGGTTTTTTTTTTTTATCTGTAAGAGTAAGATGATAATAAGTATGGGACAGAGCATGGATAGGGCTCAACCTTCCTCACACACTTTAACCACCAGATTTTGCAACAACACTCCTGTTGGAACCATCCTACAGACCACAACCTTGAAAAAAAAAAACTGTTACAATCAACAGTGTTTTACCATAAATCTTCCTTTGGACATAGTCCCTGCAAACCCTTCTCCCACATTCTCACAAGAACCAGAAAATATCTGAGTGTACCTTTGCTTCATTACAATACTAAAATCTCCAACCCAGGTGGGGCTTATCTGCCATTTTTTGTACATGTGGCATATGAAGAAATACAAAGGGGGACCCCCAAAAACTGGAATTTATTTATAAAAAATTGTGTATTTATTTTTCCATGTTTAAACTTCAGTCAACTTCAGAGTACTCTCCATTTGGTGTAATACACCTATCGAGACACTTTTTCCACTGTTCAAAACAGTTTTTGAACTCATCAGTTTTGATGTCTTTTAGCACTTCTGTCATTTTCTGTTTCACCTCTTTCTCATTGACAAATAAAACATTTCCCTTTGAGGACTTTTTTCATTCAGGAAAACAAGAAAAAGTCCCTTGGGGGCAAGATTTGATGAACAGGGACGGTGGGGCATAGGGGTCATGCTGTTTTTGATCAAAAACTGCTGAACACTGATCACCTGTTTGCCACAAAAAATTTGCTGAAGCCAAACACATTCGCTTGTAACAATACTAGCTGGTACACTGATGCCAATGGATTCCTAGAACACTTACCTAGCAAGAGAAGCCTATATCACAAGGGGCCTGCCTTTCAAAATGTAATTCTGTTTTTTGGGGGGATCCCCCCTCTTATGTGCCTACACTATGCTTATGTGGTTAAAATCCCTCTTTATAGCCAGTCACAGTGGCTCATGCCTGTAATCCCAGTGTTTTGAGAGGTGGAGGCAAAAGGATCACCTGAGCTCAGAAGTTGGAGAACC